TTTTTTTTTTTTTTTTTTTTTTTTTATCTTTTTTTTTTTTCCCCCCCCCCCCCCCCCCCAGGTTGTGTTGACGCTTGGGAGCCTAAAGTTCTGCGTGCAGCAATGGGCGCCCATTTCCGCCTACCCATCTATCCCAGCTTGGACTGGGACGATGTGGAGAAACATCTCCCTAAACCTGTCACTGTCCATGTGGCTGACAGCAGCTGTGGCACCGACAGAAGCAGAGAAACGGAGGACTCGCAAGTAAACGCATCTCATAAACCCTCCAAAGCGGGAGACTATGGCTGGGTCAGCACAAAGCCTAATCGCAACAACATGCGCTACGAGGAATACGATTCTGATTCGGACTCAGACTGTGAGGATGGGGGACTTTCACTTCCCAGAGTGGACTCACAGCCGTACCATGAGAGCTGGGCACAGAGTCCCACTGCTCTTGTGATCGGTGGAGAGACGCATGGTCTGAGTGTAGAAGCAGTCCAGCTGGCTGAGAAGACCACCGGTCGCAGGCTCTTCATTCCCGTCGCTCCTTTGGTGGACAGCTTGAATTCAGCCATGGCTGCCAGCATCCTTTTATTTGAGGGCAGGAAGCAACTGTTGAAACTGATGCAGACACCTGGAGGGAAATGGAAATCTAAAGCAGAGGAGCAGTTTTCATGATGTTTGCTCGTAATACCAGTGTGTGTCTTCGGTGTGTATTTATCATTATCACTACAGACTGAACTGAATTATTTAAATTTCCGTTCTACATCCTGTCCTGAATAAAACACTGAATTTCAATCGGGGATTTGTGAAATGATTGTCTGATTTCATGCCAAGTGAATTTATGCCTCGTTTGGCTTTTTCACAGGTTTTTTTTTTTAGGGATGCATCCAGGAATTTTTTATTTTCCATTAATTTACAAATTTGACTTGTTTCATCAATTTGTCTGGAAAATGTGATCAAGTTGTTAAAACTGGTCATTACAATTTCTTCGAGCCCAGGGTAGCATCTTCAAATTCCTTATTTCATCCAACTGTCAGCCCAAAACCAATGTGTGAGTGCACTACCATAGATAACAGGAAAATATTTAATACACAATAAATCTCACTAGGGAAAACAGATAAATCTGGGATTAGGAGAAGTTAAATGACTCTTCCTGCTCATTGAAAAAAGCCAGACTATGCTCCCCTCCCTTTACAAAACTCCATTTCTTACGCCTCCCTATCATTTCCTGAGAGCTTTAAATAGATGCACTTGAGGCATAATTCTAGTAAGGACAAGGCCGAGACAAGTCCATCCTAGTTCTGCAGCCTATGCAAATATGCTGAAGTCACTAAACTTCATCCCACCTGGAGTCTGCATTAACAGAAATGATCTGCATACCGTCTTCCATAATAAATGCAGCATTTGTGTTCGCCCATTATTTGAGTACTTCTAACAAAGGAACTGGTGATTCATTGCGTTTTACATATCCGAGAGCTAACTTTATTGTCGGAACCTAAAAGGAGCAAAACTTTGTGCTTGCCAGTGAATTTTAATGGGTGCGAGAAGTAATGACTGAAGCAACAGAATACAGGGATTTCTACATTCAACACTTTTCAAACGCCATTCCTGTGCCTTCAGAAACAACCTGGTCTTTTCATTATGGGACCTTCACAGAAAGTCCTCATAATGACTGAGATGAGAACCACCATTAACAACTGGCAAGAGATGACTTTCACTCACATAACACACACACACACACACAAGACACAGGGGTTTTTCAAATATCAGTCTGTTACAAGCAAGTCTAATGTGATCTTTACTGTATGTGCACCTGTGTTTTTATTTAAATGCCAGAAAGGCTTACGGCTACATCCAACTGAGGTTGAGCATTTTTGAACTACATGTGAACTACAACTGTAAAAATGCATTTTATTGTTTCTCAACATCATTCAGAAACCAGAAGTAACAAGGATCTCACAGACAAAACAGAAGGCAAAGAATCAGCTGAATAAGTAGGTCCACTGGGTAATTCTCTGGGTTTCTCTAGAGTTCGGAAATACTATTGAGTGAAAAAAATAAAATACACATACTTTTCTTGAGGCAAAAAAAAAAAAAAAAAAAGAACCAACAGAATCTCCATATATATTACTGTAGGGACTATCATCAATGCAAGGCACCACAGGAGAAAAAGAGGACTCCGTGAAAAGAGAACATGTCTAAAAAAAAAAAAAAAAAGTTAAAATGTCAGTAAAAAGTGAGACATCTCTCTAACTGTCTGACAAAGTCAGAGGGGAGGTGGGAGAGATAGTACGAGGATGGGAAAGGCGAGGGGGGAGTCGCAACAGGTCAGGGTTCGATGATGGAGTGAGTCCCATATAGCGTGTCCGGTTTATATTTGGACTTCCTCTTTAAATGGGCTCTGGTTTGAGCTTTTCAGCCAAGAAGTCGCCGACAAATTGCTCCACTACGGCCGGCGTGATCTCCTCTACGTCGCGTACATACTTGGCGCGAGCCGACATGTCCAGGATGGTGAGCAGAGGTGCTGCTTCGGGGAGGTTAGTGTAGTCCCGCAGAGAGTCACTCATGTCATCCTGTGGTGAGAGAGAGAAAAAAAAAAAATACAGTGATTAGGTGCAATAGTACATGATGTCAAAGTGCCTTACATTCATGGAAACAAGGCCTCTAATTTAGGTAATGCATTTACATGTCTTGTTGGAAAGTCCAAAAAGTAGGGATTTCTTAATTACATTTTTCTTTTTGCTGAATTTTATCTGCCAATACTTTGGCTTCAGTAAGCCTAATGAAAATTTGTGAAACAATCCAAAAATGTTCGACTACAAAATAGATTTGCTTTCATAGGTTTCCTGATAAAGTTTCCTTTAACATTGTGTATAATGTCCTGTAGTTTGTTCCCGAAGTGGGGGTGGAGACCGGCCAAGGGGTTGTAACATGCATTTAAGGGCTGAGAAGATGACAAAGAGGACAAGAAGAAAATAGTTGACCATTTAAACTTTTTTTTCCTCTAAAAAGAAAGCACTGAATCCCTGCACACTGTGATCTCTAAGTACATAGAACAAAATATTGAAAGTTTATTGGAAATGCAACATAGCAGAGCAGACAGTGTGCAGGAATTCCACATTTTTGCATGATCACATTTCTTAGCTTGGAATGTTTTCTTGTAAATTTCTGGACAGTTTGACTTTTCAGGCCTCTTTCACAAGAAAAAGAATACTGGGAACCATTCGTTGAGACATCCTCATCTACAGCATGATGAAACTCTGTGGGGGTAACGTTCAGCTTTTGTATGGGCCCTTGCCTCATAATCTGTAGGCATTTGAATTACTTCGACAAACAGGCAAGTCAAACGCTGGATCGGTTCCAAGAGAGAAGACTCTAAATTACACATTTATCTGCTGCTCATCAGTTCAGACTTGCTTTTGGCAACTCGGGCAGCACCCATGACTTGAACTACACCACGATATAATCAAACCATATAAATTCAGAACTGCCTGGCACAATCTTCATTAATGCACACCCCTTGAAAGAGAATATGAAACTCTCTGCCGTCTTCCTGCAGGCAGGCGGCCCAGAGAGACCAGAGCGTTGGTGCTTAGCCACACATCCTGCTGTGTGGTAAGACAGGAAGGAGCCACGTGGGGGTCCAACAACATCCCTCCTGTTTCAAAAGCTCACTCGCATCAGATATAAGTGTCATCACAAGACCTCTGAATGTTACATGTGTGCAGGAGAGAGCGAGAGAGAGCAGTGCAGTGGTGTGAAGGAATATGTTACAAATAGATTGCTGCAGGATTTGGAGGGCATTCAACTTTTATTTTCCCTTTGCAGGTATTTTGAAAGGGCTTCACCCATTTTCTGCCTGAGGCTTGATGTCACCCTTTAACAAGTCAGGATTACAACCCCTGTCGCCCCAGGTAACAGAATGAATCAGCAGCAGGCGGGCAGGCAGCAACTTTCAAACAAGCTTGAAAGGGCCATTAATTATTGAGACTGAATAAGAAATCCCACCCTTTCGTAATCCAGCTTCAGTTCCAGCCGGGAGTGCTTCTGGAATCGGCATTCCCACCATGACAGGGATCCATTATTCTCGCCATACCTTCCCCTAAGTCAAAGGGATTTCAGGTGTTGTGCTTTGTGAGGTCACACGGTTCACTTAGTTAGATGTGCACAGCTACTCTCACTTGAGTCTTTCATGACGGCATGACCTGATTTCCCCTCGGCTTAGTTTGCTGGCTCAGCGGGAGACTCGCAAAGATTACAGATCAGTTTCACATGGAAAAGATTATGTTGAAAATGCAAAACTAACATGAAAAGGCCAGAGGGTGGCACTGCAACAAAGAATTGGGCTTCTCATGGAGGCAGCGCCTATGATGTTAATACTGTTACTGATTTATGTGCCAGTGTGAGTTTTGTCAAAACAAAGTCAAAAGACAAAGCGACTTCGGATGGATTTCCTGCTACATACAACGCTTATGCTATTTGTTGCGTCTTCCCTGCTATCAGACAATCCGCAGCTATTCCTGCCAAATGGATCAAACCACACAATCACCCATCAGACTTCTCGTTGAATAGCTCGACTTGTGCTGCTACCTAAAAAGGAAAAGCGTGCCAAGATGAAGTCTGTGACCTCTTCTTTGCCGAACTGCGAACAGATGGAACAGATGAGTAGCAGTCAGGCAGCTAACTTCCTCTGAATGGAGCCCATTTTATTACGCCACAAATCACCATACATTGGTCACTTAATACTCACAGATGTAATCCGTCACTAAAACAATGTCGTTACGAGTGAAATACTGCTTGATTGTCCGACCTACAAATGGAGGCTTTGCCTTGCATGCTCCATTGCAGCCATACTAAGTGTAGATTATAGATGATCTGGGCACACAGTGTAAGGAAACCACAAAGAGAGGAATTCCACAATCTGTCACTGTGGCCTTTCCATGCCTGGACGATATGGGAAGATGTAATCTCTGAGTCAGTCTTCGCCTCCGTAGGAAGTCATGCATCTTCTTTTGTGTGCCTTCCCTGCTTGTGTAAACTGCTTCTCGTGAGGTGCAGCCATTCCAGAGGCCCCCCCACCCCCCCGCCCTCTGCTGCTCCGCTCAGAACAAAAAAGACAAAGGGCCTCTCTGCTCCAGCCCACACTCACAGCTGTGATAAGGCTCAGCGTGTGTTTACCGTGTGTGGAACCTGCTGGGCCGTGTCAGGCTTATTATGATTATTGATGCGCCGTGGCATTTCACAGACGATGGCCGGCTGATAAGCCCCGAACTGATAATGATGAACAAACCTCCCCACTGGCCTCTGAGCCGGGGCAGCGTCCATCTCACTGGCCAGCTTTGATGTCTTAAGGGAAAGGCATGATTGTGAAATTGTGGATATTCCCAACAGCAATTGCACAACGATCGAGAGAGAGAGAGATATATATATATATATTCAATGTGTTTATAATTGAACACTAAATGTCGCTGTAAGGCTGTACAGGTAGAATATTTACCTTGTCCACATCATTTAGTTTAGCGTGTTGCCAATGCTAAACTAAATATGCTAACATTTGCTAATCGGCACTAAACACATATTTAGGTTTGCAGGTATTTGGTAGCATTGAACAATTCTGACCCAATGATGGCGCCTGCCAACATGTTACTGGGTCACCAAGTTATTACAACTCATCCTGAGCGGGGCATGAATGTCTCCATCCCCTTTCACTTTATTCATGTTATAGCTGTAGAGACATTTCACTCACAACCAGAAATGTAAATAGTGTTGCAACTGACAATTGTTTTCATTATCGAATAATTGACAAATTATTTCCTTGATTAATTGTTTGGTCAATAAAGCATTAGAAAACAATGGAAAATGGACATCACAATAGTCCAAAACTCTCAAATATACAAACTACAGTAATGTAAGACAAAGTAAAGCAGCACATTTTCACATTTGTGAGCCTGGACCAATCAAATTCTTGCTTAAAAAGAGACGATTAGAGTAGAACTCGGGGTATCTCCAAAGTCATTAGGATTCGTCACCTGGGCACTATGAATGTATGTACCAAATATTATTGCAATCCATCAGATAGTTGTTGAACAATTGCAATCAAAACCACAAACGTGAACCTCATGCTGGCGCTAGACGAATAGTTAGAGGATCACCAGACACAGCAGGCATCATCCTCTGGGGACCATGAGTGTCTCTACAAGATCTACAGATCACTTCAACCATCTAATAGTTGTTGAGACATTTCACTTTGAACTAAAGCAGTAGATAGAATGACCATATTGGCATTCCTAAAGCCACGCCGCTAGCAGAGCTAAAAACATATATTTATTGAGCTTTACGCACAAAATCAAGCATTAGAAACCTGAAAAGAAAAACATCACTGGCACTATTGCAGCATCACGGATCAAGCTGCACTTGAAAGGCTGATGACAGGACAGAGCGCAGGACTCTGGTGGTGGGACGAGAGGAGGCGGACTCTGTGTTTGCATCATGGTGCTCAAACATAGACAAAGTTGATCTGCAATGTTTTCCTGATGTCGAATGTTTAATGTTAAGACGGCGGCCAAGTTATTTACCTTGAGAATAGTTTTTGTTGTTTCTGTTTGCATTCCTGCTGATGCAAATGTTAAAACTGCACTACCGTTTATTTCTTTGACAAAAAAACTGTTGAAATTGTAAAATGACTAGATAATACCACGAGAGTACATTTTGCATGCAAAGGCCAGTACACAGCAGCGATGGAAGAAGAAAAGATCTTTCATTCTGCGTTTACATCGTTAGTATACTACTCTGTGGCGTATGTTTTTTTTCAGCAGGGTAAGAAGATCTTGTGTCATTCTGCTCCGCCTGTCCTCCCCCCCCTCAGAGACTGCCAACATACCGCCGTCTCATGGACACAGAAAACCCAGCAGCTGGCCTGGCAAGGAGCGTGCGACTACCACGGTTAACCCGGGCCGAAGGAGCAGGAGTCTGAGCCCAGAGCCTGGAAGCTCCACTCTCTGAGCGCCTCAAACGGGAAGTGATATCGGACCCTGAATCCGATCTGGAAGTGAAACCTGGTGATTTCATAGCCGGTTGAGCAAAAGCCAGGAAATTATACCTGCACTGCGTTGGATGTAAAAATATCTGCCTTCGCATGCGCTCCACAAGGGAAACAAAGCAAACTTAAGACTTCTGAATCGCTTCGAGCTCCAGTGCAACAATGCATCTTTGTGTTAGGTCAAATAAATATTGGCACACAGACAATGAACACGAAACACTATCATGTCAACTCTGTAAGCATTTCTTGTTCTGTGTGTGCATGTCAGGGGCATTTCAAGGCTGACGAGCGGCCTTGAACACACACACACACACACACACACACACACACACACACACACACACA